ATGATGGCCAAACCCCAGCACAATGGGCAAGGTTATCTGGTCACCGTTGCAATGAACAAAGTACACTTGCCCTTGCTTCTGAACAGCGAGTGTAATACTGCTGTCCTTTTATCACCATCCTCCCTACCCAAAATTTCAAACATAAAGGCGCAAATTCTGTCCTACTTTATTGTCTTCAGCATATAAAAAAAACCCCAAACCAACCAGACCCAAGCACGAGCTGTCCATGAAAGCAAGGACAAACAACAGTTAAGTATCATTTTTCATAATGTCCCACTCCACTAACAAGTTTTCTCCACTTAGTGCATTTAACTTGCTTTCCACCCCTCTAAGACAACTGTATTCAAAGGAGAGCAAAAATCATTTCTCCGAGGACGTATGTCACTCAATTCCTTCTGTCAAGAGAAGAGCCAGGAAACAAGAAGGTGGTCCTTGTGTAAGACCTTGGCCAAATTCTGTTATTCCATAAAATGCAGAAACTCACTGGAGAAGGCTTTTAACCCAACAGCATGTGAAATCTGCTTCACTGCCTAACCTTCAAAGTTACTATTCACTACAAAAGGGTCCATATAGTGTATTTTAGCCCAAGGATTCCCTCCAGCCCCGAAATGTGTTTCACAACACACCGGTTACCAGACTTTCCAGACACAAGGGTGTTACCAGCAGATACTGTGGGATTCTCCCCGAGTATTAGCAAAACATAAATGGGGCACATAAAACTCTGGATGGAAAGACTCCTCCAGCTGGGTGCAGACAATCCTTCCCTCTCTCTCTACCTCCTTCTGAGGAGACATCTGTGCACACAGATCACCCAGCAGAGACCTGCCTCCTCTTAGCTTTTCCCTTAGGATTCATGTGTCTTTTTGGTTACTTGTTCCCTGGGACACAGGAAACAGCTTCAGTTTCAGAAGTCCGTATTTCAGTTCACTGACCCGGTCCTTCAAGATAACTTGCCGTTTGAACTGTTTTGACAGGAGGAATCATCCGTGCCGTAATGCTGACCAAGAGGAATCATCCAGCTACGTTGTCAGGCATCTTCATCTTTTTGAATATACGTTTAAGTAGGCATAAGGTGAAAGAAAATCACCTTCATAAGTCGGCTATTCTTTGTAATGCTTCTTTGTGGTGAATATGCCAAGCTTGCCCTGCTTTAACTATTATAATGCTTAAGAGGATGTGCTGAGATAGTCACTGCCTGCTCACACATTCGTGACTGCATGCCACACTATTCTACGCTCATCACCCTCCTTCAGCCCTTGTGCTCTGTCCTTGAAACATTACAATGGTAAGTCAAGCCACACAAAGTGCAGAAATAGTTGTTTGCATTTTTTTCCACCAGTCCAAATTCATGCTCTCTGTTACCTGGATGATAATCAATACTTTCCTCTTCTTTCTAAACAAGATGGGAAAAGTCTGCCCTCTTCATCCATTTTTACAAGGTTAGGGTCAGAGCACTGACCACTCTTCTGTGCAGCATAACGATAAATGACCTCCAGCCTTTAAGTAACAGAGGTGGTGTAAGAGAAGACTAGAGCCATCCAAAGTGCCTACCTTGGACAGGACCGCTTGGCATTAACAGTGGTACCCAGCTGTGCTCATAGGACTTCCAAATTAGAGCTGGCAAAAGCAGAAGTAGCATTGAGCTATTTTAACTGACTGCAGACATCAAAGCAACTATTGAGCTCCTGGCAAGTAACATCAGACGGTATAGTATCTTTACAATAATGAGTTTCATGGGGCATCTTGTGTTCTGACATGAAGCACAAATAGAGTATTGGGAAATGTTAATTAGTTTCATACCAGTGCTTCTAGAGGTCAGTAGAGTCAAAATAACTATGAAGAATTGGAGACTAAAAGACTGTAGTGGTAAGAAACCACATGTGGTTCTACAGATCAGGGTTCTTAGGCTAAAATTGAGCATTTTCCATAGCCTATAGTGGTGGGGAGATGGTGTGTGATTTTGGAAAATAAGGGTGTAGAGAGAAAACTTGACTGAAAAAAAAAAGTGAAAAAAAAAAGAGCAGAGTTTGGAATAATGAAGTTGTGGTTCAGTTCAGATTATGATTCTGCCATCTCTTAGAAAGTCTGACCTAACCAAGCTCACTTCCTATCTATCTGATCTATTTAGTGTAAGACCTACCCAGTACTGTGACCTGCTCTCACCCCACTAATACAGCTGTGATATGGACTCTACACTGATGACTTGTGTTGAGTAGAAAGACCAGTTATTACTGGGACAGATGAAATAAAATGACTCTTGAGTGATTATGTGTGTTAAGATACTTTTAAGACCATAGGTCAGCACTAGATTACAAGCCTTCTACTTTTATGTGAACAAGTTAATGGTTACTGCCAGAAGCAAGACATCCCAGACACTTCCTGATTCAGGTATATTCTAACTAATAAGGTACAGGGACAGATTAATGGTTTTAATACTGATTAACAGCAGAAAAGAAAAAGAGTGGCACGACAAATTGATGAATCTGACACTAACTGCTGGAGTCTGTGGTTTCTAAGATACAAGCTTCCATACACAACACTTGTATCTTTGACAGCTAATTGTATCTACATGTATCATACAATCATAGAATCATAGAATGGCCTAGGCTGGAAGGGACCTTAGAGATCATCTAATCCAACCTCCCTGTCATGGGCAGGGATGACGCTCAACTAGATCAGGCAACACATGGGGACTGAACGGGGATCGAACCTGCGACCTTGGTGTTATCACCAAGCCCCTCACAATTACACAGAATAACTTGAGGCATCGTAACTCAAAAATATTACAACCCTCTTTTGAGTATCTCCAACTTTGAGCCCATGCCCTGAATTTCCAAAAGCATGTATTTCAATACCCAAGATGAAACCAATACAACCAGCAAGCTCACCTCCTTCAGTGAAGCAAGTACAGCTTTTCAAAGGAGAAGGATCTTTACTGTTTCATTGCCTGTGTCACAGGCACTCTTTGCAGCTAGACAGAGACAGTGGTCATCTATGACTACACCAGTGGACAAGGGAAGAGCTAGGGATGTAATCTGTCTGGACTTCTGTAAGGTCTTTGACACTGTCCTGTAAAACACCCTTCTCTCTAAACTGGAGAAATGGATTTGATGTTCAGTGGATAATGAATTGGCTCCAGAGAGTAGTGTTCAATAGCTCAATGCCTGGATAGAGATCGGTGATGACTAGTGTCCCTCAGGGGTGTGTACTGGGACCCGGATGTTTAGTGTCTTTATTAGTGACAGACAGTGGGAACTGAGTGTACCCTCAGTAAATTTGCCAATGACATGAAGCTGAGTAGGGCCTATAGTGACAGGACAAGGGGCAAAAAACAGGGTAGATTCAGACGAGATATAAGGAAGCGTAGTGTTTACAACGAAGGTGTAAGGCACTGCCCAGAGAGGTTGTAGAGGCCCTATCCATGCAGGCTTTCAAGGTCAGCTTGAACAGGGCTCTGAGCAACCTCATCTAGTTGAAGATGTCCCTCCTCACTGCAGGGGGCTTGGACTAGATCACCTTTAAAGGTCCCTTCCAAGTCAAACCATTCTATGATTCTATAGTTCAATTTGTGAGCACAGAGGGTCTGTTTCTAGAGCAGGCAGACATTCTTTTGCTCCTTTAATGTCAAAATGTCCAACCTACTTTTTTAATTCAATTAAAATCTAAAATTCCAAACTTCCGCTATATCTAGTTTACCGTCTTTACCTTTTTATGCTTCCAAGCTTGACCAATTCCTAGTCTCTTCCACACACAGAGATTTGCAGATCTTTTTCTTCAAAGCATCTTAAAATACCGAACTTACACCGCAAATAATGAGTAGTTGGGAGAGCTTCATGGTGAAGTTACTCCTGGTAATTAAAAACTACACAGAGCCAACCACTGAAAACAAAAGTGACAGTACTCCTTTCTCGATCGCCCGTAAAAAAGAAAAAAATCATTAACTCTCATTACTCACCACATCAGATGTGTCAACAAATGCACACCATATAAATAGTTCATGTTGTAACTACACATCTTTGAGTTCTGTCAGGGCTCCTCCACAAGATTCTCCTTCCTGAAAATGTTTCAGTGTGCTACAGCTTCTGCAAGGGTCTGCTGTACTCAGTCGAGATATATAAAAGCGGTGGCATTTAACTCACACATGCACTGATGTGTTGGCCCTCACTCTGTACTCATGAGGAATGGAACTGGTAACAGTGCTAGCAGTTCAGTAGTGCTTACTGGGTTCAGGCAACCTCCCTTAGATGGC